AACCCAAAGCACTGAAGCAGCAGTGGTAGGGGCAGATTCAGGGGATGCCAAACTGTACAACCAGTTCTTCTTTGGCGTCGACACGGATCTGTGAGAGTGCACTGAAGGCATAGGCAGCTATCCGGGACACCTGCAGGCACGAAGACATGGCTGTGTCACAGGTGACTACTGAAACCCCCAGTTATCCCAAAGAAACTGTTGCAGAAGGTTGGCCTCCAGCCCTAAGGAGTCCCAAAGCCCATCCTGGGCTTTCCTCCCACCTCTAACAAGGCCTTAAACCTGACCTAGGCTTTGCCCTCAGCTCTAAAAAGTCATGTCAGGGCTCTGGGCATTACTGCTCCTCCAGGATGAGGATATGTCTCTGGGGAGCATGGCAAGGGCTCAGGGCTCAGCCCAGCCCTGCTCACCTGCTGCAGGTCTGCAAAGGGAACAGGGTCGCTGGCGAGCACTTGGTGTGGTTGGTTAGTCAGAGATGGCAGCAGTGGGAGCTTCTTCCAGTGCGTCAGGTTGTTGCTGAGCATGGCCAGGCGTGTGCTGTCAGGGAAGAGCAGCGAACATCAGTGCCATGCCAAGACATGGGGACATCCAGAAGATGGGTGCTGCACCCCCAGGCACCCAGAACCCCCAGGGGGAGAAAGGGAGAGCAGTGGTGCTGCACTCCCAGCATCCAGCCCTCTCCACTCCCTACACCAGAAGGATGAGGGAGCTTCCAGCTCTCCCACACAGGGACCTTTCAAGCAGAAGCAGCCACATCCAGCCCCCCACCATCTGCCCCAAGGGCTGGGTGAGCACAGGAGCCCTTTGTCCTGGGCTCTGCTGCCTGCACTGCCATCAGCTCTCCCTGAGCAGGCTGCACCCTGCTTTCTGAGATGAGGCAGCCATTCCACATGCCGAGTTCACTCCCCCAGGCCAAAATCCCAGGGACCTGCCCAGGGACACACACAGCTGTGAAGGACTGCGGGCACCCCAGGGGAGAAGTGCAGGTCCCACCTGTACTGCCTGGCTCTGTCCATGTACTCATGCTGCTCCATGCCCTGGGAATCCGCTGCCGACACGTCAATGATGTTGCTGCAGAGACACGAGACAGTGGCTCCCACTGGAGGATCATTACTCCCCCTCAGTTCCCTCCCTATCTCAGAGCATCCTCTGACCAAGGCAGACAAAATCCAGCACCCACCAGACCAGCGCCCACCAGACCAGCACCCCAAAACAAACATCTCAAGGCCAAACTCGCCCAATGAATGCTGCCAGCTGGCCACAAGTACACCAGGCTGGACTGGCAGTTCGCCAGGAAGGAAACGCCAGGGACTGTTTGCCCACAGCTGGCCTGGGGCAGAGGGAGGCAGGCAGAGGCTGCAGGAAGCTGGGGGCTGGTCTGGGCTCTGGGGAGCTTGGCATGCAGCTACCTGGAGAAAAAAGGAACGACTGGGAGGACAATGTCCTTGGCAGATATTCTGAGAGCCCCTGTACCAGGCCCTGGGCTCACAGAGGACCTGGGCGCTTGCCCAGGGCCCTGCCACAGCCGCATTGTGTGCACCCTGCAGCAAAGCAGTGCTCAGAGCTGCTGTGGCCCTGCATGCTGGACACACACCAGTGGCCTCTAGTTCTCCAATGTCAGGCAGGGGAGCAGAAGGGCCTATGAGCATCCCAAAGCCCTCCCAGCCAGGTTGGATGCAGCCCTCTCCCTACATTGCCCCTGCACACTTGAGGAAAAGCCTCCTCAGCAGGGGATCCAGTGCTGCTGCCCCTCCAGCCACCCTCTCCACATCCCCAGGGACTCACTTTCTTATACAAACCCTGTCCCTACTTTGAGCCCAGCAGCTGAGGGGTTACCTCACATCTGGGGTCTTGTCTCTGTGTCCCCATGGGGCTCAAAGCTGAGGGACAGGGCTGTCTGAGGACAGAGGGACGTGGGGGCTCTGCCACAGCTCCTCCCTTCCCCTCAGCACATACGGCTGATCACCGGGGCCCTCAGCCAGGCAGCCCCCCAGCTGTGTGCCTCACCCAGGGTCACCACTGGTCCCCGAGGCGTGCTGCCTGCCCCATGGGCACGGCCTGAGGCTTACATGGCTGTTTTGGCGAGAATGGAGGACAGCATGGCCTGCTCATCGGTGCGTGCCGACGGGAGGTTGTGGTAGCTCTGCTCCGCTCCGTTCAGCACCTTGCTGGGCGGGCTGGCTGCCGGCTCCAGCACTGGATATAGAGATGTTGTACTGTTGCAATAAGCTTTTCATTTGCTAAAAAATACTTATTTTGAAAATAAAATGATCGTATTATTGGTCAAAAGGGCTGGTAAAATATTCCAATATGTGAAAAGTCACGAGTTGAAGAATAAGGGCACATTGAAGTGGATCCTGACCTTTAAAAAGCAGCTGTGCACTCCAAGAGGAGTGACTAAAAAGTGATTTGCATTCAGAATATGGAACTCTTACCACTCTTCTTCAAAAGGAAGATCTGGATAAATGGTGAAGGGTTTTTTTTTTTTTTAATACAGGCAAACACTGTGAATTTTTGCTTACTGTGCATGTGTAGATGGTGGCACTTCCTAAGCTCAGAACAACTTTCATTTCGTAGGACTAATGGTTTACCTCTGAATTCTGGACCGTCCTTCCTTTTCTAAATTGCTTAAATTGTGTCAGGATTGGGGGGGAGGCACTTTGGTTTTTTGTTTGCTTTGTTTTTTTGTTTTGTTTTGTAATGTCTTTCATGGAAGCTATTTCTTCAGGTTAGAGTGGCTGAAGATATGGAGCAAAAGGAAGGTATTTTGAAATCTTTGAAGTATTTGTCTTGTAAATATTAAAATGTTATGCTTCCCATTGTTAGGAAAATTAATCCACAAACATCAGAGGTTTATGTCCAAAAAGGGACAGAGAAGTCCTTTTACTTTATTCTGATAAAAGGAAAGGCCATGGGGCGTTCCCCTGGGGTCTCTCAGTTTTTTGGAGGACACAGCCTCCTTTTTATCCTAATTTCTTGGGCACATTTCCCTCTCTCTTTCCCCATTGGCTGAGGTACTTGAGAGGTACAGACTTCCCAATATGCCTGATCCTGAAGATTTCCCTCTAATGTATAACCCTCCTTTTAAATTTTTAATTCTTATGGAATTTAGGGTTTTTCCCCATTGTTAGTTTCATCTTTCAATGTCCAGTTTCATTTATCAGCAAACCTGAACTTTATTTGTAAAAGCAAATATCTTTTTCCATTCGTCCATCAGTGGAATTCTTCCCATTGTTTCTTTTATCTCCCAGTGCTAGTTTTATCTACCAGCATACCCACAGCTTGTTTGTAAAGACAAATCTCATTCCTCTCATCACTAAATATCACCTAAGTGTAGTCCTAAAAACCCCAAGGCATTTAATTTAAATGTAGGTGAAAACCACTCCAAAAATCTGTTGATACACATGAAAACACTAGTGACTTGATCTTGGGCTCCAAGGCAGGTGGAGAGCTGTAATAGCCTTGGATTAAGAGCTATTCTCCATGTGTGCCCACCTTGTACTTCAGGGAACTGTATCAATCTGCATACTGAATAGTATTTATAGTTGTGGCATGTGATATAAATGAGTATATTAAACACATGCCGTTTGTAGCATGGACACTTCCTGGGCCACTGGATAGTTGTTTTTCTGAACAGCTGGGACTGATGAAGCACACTCAGAAATACCTGCTTTTAAAAACCGCTTCAATAAACTCATCTGTCAAGGAGTTGTTGCAGTACAACTTGGCAAGCTTTGCTGCTTTAGGAAGGGAGTGAAGGAAATGATGTGGGTACCGGTTCTGGTTGACTATTCCAGTGCGTCAGAAAATAAATCTTTAAAAGCTGGAGTTCTCAAGTGAACACAATAGGATTAACACTGGAATTCACATACCTACATAAATCATACTTTGGATATTTGAAATAGTATTGCAGTTGTAGTTGCATGATTTAATAGTGACAGATTTGATTTGTCTCTGCTAAAAATGTTACTGATTTCAGTATCTTGAAGAAGATCTGAAGGGAACCTGTAAGAGAGCTGGAGAGGGTCATTGGATAAGGGCTGGGAGTGACAAGTAAGTGTCATTTGGAGCTGAGGAAGTGGTCACAGTTCTCTTTGTTATTTATTTATTTACTTATTTCTTATTCATTATTTATTTATTTATTCATACTGTTGCTGTTACTGTTTTTTTTCTCTCCTCGCTTTTTTCTAGGAAATTGTTCCTATCTCAACCCATGATCTTTACCTTTTGTGCCCCCAAATCTCCTGCCTTGGGGAGAAGTGAGCAAGTGGCTCATAGTTTAGAGTGGTTTCAGTGGGAGCAGTAAATCTGGAAGTACCATTCCTACACCAAGACAGCCTTACTTGAGTCCCAGGCTGAGTCACAATGAGGGCACAACCCACAAAAGAGTGGCTTGGAATCAAATTTGATCTCAGCATTTGCTGTATTAGGTCCAGAGCCACTGGTCACCATGGTGCTTTGTCTGCTCCTGTGGGTATGGTACCCAACCCTGGCTGTGCTCCTGTGGGTATGGTACCCAACCCTGGCTGTGCTCCTGTGGGTATGGTACCCAACCCTGGCTGTGCTCCTGTGGGTATGGTACCCAACCCTGGCTGTGCTCCTGTGGGTATGGTACCCAACCCTGGCTGTGCTCCTGTGGGTATGGTACCCAACCCTGGCTCTGCTCCTGTATTCCTGTATGCACTCCTCGGGGTGACCTTTTACGGAGCAGGGACAAGGATCGGCATTTCTTTGTTGCTGTGCTGTGGGAGGTGAGTTTATGACACAATAACATCGAGGGCAATGAGGGCACTCTGCGATGTGTATTCAGTGCTGCTCTCCTGCCCTTTCTCCAGCACGACCTTTGGGAGTCCATTAATAAGCATACCGAGTCTGTGGGGGGAACAGGGGAAGGATGATTTTCTCCATTTTCCCCCCCTTTTCCTCCTTTGGGCCTGTTACAACAGCTTTTGAGAATATTTAATTCCCTTTGGATGGTAAGGAGAGCATGTTCTTGTTGGTACGTCTCAGTGCAGTCCACACTGTGTTTAGAGTCACATTTGGAGGCAGAACTGAGGTTTCCAAGAAGACCATTCAGAGACCTGTCCCCAGGGGGAATAGTCATGCGTGGCGTGGGATGTGTGAGAAAATTGGCCAATTTTTTTAGAAATTCTCTGCTCCGCTGGTTTGAGAGTTCACCCCTGCACAACTAGAGGACTCTGATAAAGTGACGGAATATTTGCAAGGAGATGCTGCGTCAGCTCCAGACACGAGCAAGTTCCTGCAGTGTGTTGGGCCCTGGCTGCTCTTTACGGGACGCTGGTGCTCGGTGGGCAGCACCCTCAGGGGAGGAGGAGGAAACAGAGCAACAGGCACCATGGCCACGCCAGCTGCAGCTGAGCCAGGGGAACAGCCCCTGCTGGGAGCAGTCGCCCCTGCAGGGAAGAAGGAACCCAAGACAAAATCAGTTCAGTTAGTGAGGGATGGCAAAGCAGGGCCCTCAGAACAGGAGGAGGAGGCAGGGCCAGAGAAAATCGCCTGGTCCGTGTCCCCAGGTGAGCTGTAAGATGTGTGAAAAGGTTCCAGCTGCCAGTTAGGTGAGCCCCTGGTGACCTGGCTACTCCAGTGCTGGGATATCCTGGCCCACGATCTGGAACGGGATGGTAGTGAAGCCAAGCAGCTGGGATCCTTGTCCTGGGATGTGAACATTGACAAGGGCATCGGGAAGAGGACAAAAACTCTCAGGCTCTGAAGGCAACTCCAGTCAAGCCTGAGGGAAAGGCATTCTCTCAAGGATGATCAAGTGGTGCATTGAGGCATGTGGAACACCACGAAGCAAGGTACCCAGTATCTTGGAGAGAATTAGTGGTGCTGGAG